GGTGCGTGTTCTCAGTATTGGTTAATCAGCTGTTTGGATCAGCCTGCTGTAGTGTTTCTTTTGTATTAGAGTGATCAAGTGTTTAAAATTTCCTCTGGGCCATGAAGTTGAGCATGGAGAGCGGTGCTCCCGTATCTGTGGGTAAGACGTCCAGGGGCGGCCACAGGAGGAGGAATGGATCAGCCAGGGGTCATTAAGTCAAAGATGGGAGGCTTGGGAGACACACTGGCTTTCTGCTTGGTGAGGTGAGGGCTCCTAGAGAAACATATCCTCCTCATCCGTGGAGCAGAATATGCTAAAGCTAAAATGGGCAACGTCCATGCTGCTCACATCACCTGGGCCAGAGCTAGCTCCCGATAACCTTTAAGAGCCTGGCCAGGGCCACCATGGTGAGATGGTTGCAGGCCTGAGCGCCTTCCTTCATTCTTGAAACACAGTTCCTGGGGCCCTGGGCTCTCAGCATTGTCTGGACACTGGTAACATGGAGCCAGGGACACTCTGTGGGCTGTGCTGAACTTAATGACTGAAGATCACTTAGGGTTTGGTGGAACCTTCTGGGGCATGTCTCTGCCCTCTGGCTTCTGAGGGTCATCAAGGCATAAGGGATCTCTGAGTACTGCTCCTTTTCTCCTTCGATTGTCTGTTTCCCCAGCAGGAATGCTTTGCTCAGCCAGGCTGTTGGAGTCTGTCTGAAATGCTGCCCCACTAGCAGAGGATGATTTAAGTGACAGTGGGGCCAATATGCCTCCCATGTAGGAGGCTGTTTCCCTGGCCTGTTTGGGGAAGAGGGGACAGAAGAAGAAGCTAGCCTTTATTGAGTACCTGCTGTGTACCAGGCACTGTCTCCATCTCAGCAAATCCTCAGAGAATCCTTGTGAAATGTTATTAAAATCTCCCCATTTCATAGGCTTGAAAAACTTTCTGTGATGGAAATTTTAAAAAATGTTTCCTGAACCCCATCATCCACTGCCCCACTTCAACATTTAACAACTCATGAACAATCTTGTTGTATCCATACCTCCACCCTCCTTCCCTTTTTCCTGAATCATTTTGAAGCAAATCTCAGACATAATTTAATCTGTATTTCAATATGTATAGCTAAAAGATGAAAAATTCTTAAAAAACTAATCATACTACCATTATCACATGAAGAAAATTTAGCAATCATCTTCTTACAAATTTTTATTAAATGGTATTGGGACACCTGGATAGTCGTTTGGAAAGATATTAAAGTAGATCCATACCTCACACCATACATCAGAATTAACTTCCAAACAGCTTAGAGATCTAAATGTGAAAAAATAAACCATACACATCCTAGAAGAAAACATAGATCTGTGTGTAAGTAAAGCCTTTTTTAAACACTATGCATCAAAATTCAGATGATTAAAATATTAATAAATTTAACTACATTAAATATATATATTTTAAGATTTCTTGGGACATTTATTTCAAATATATAGGCTTAAATAATTATGATTAAATCCATTTCCTTGGAATTCTAGTCAGTCAACAATCAGTTGGAAGGGGAATGTATTTGGAAACATTCAGGAATGAGAACACACCAAGGCAAGTTAATTATAATAATAAAAAGGAAGCCCTATAAAAAGAAATATTTTGGTGCTAAAACCAACTTAAATATATATTTTTTGCATTGACAAAAAAAAAAAACAAACCAAAACCCAAAGCCCATAAGCAGAGTCAAAAGATAAATGACAAACAGGGAAAATATTTGCAAGAGATATCATAGATAAAGGGCTTATCTTCCTAACAGAGAATGTTTAAAAAAGTGAGAAAAAGAAAAAAACAAGATCTGATAGAAAAATTGGCAAAAGACATGAACAGACAGTTTACAGAAAAAGATACACAGATGGCCTTTAAACATACGAAGAGATGCTCAGCTTCACTCATAATAAGCAAAATGTAAATTAAGCCCCACTGAGATCATTTCTCATCCATGTGATTGGCAGACGTTCAAAGGTTTGATCACGCACTGTGGTAGCAAGGCTTTAAGAAAGCTTCTCATCCAATGCTGGTGGGAGGGCAAACTGGCACACACCCCATGGAGGGGAGTTTGTCAATATCTAACGAAACCACAAAAGTATTTACTGCTTGACCCAGTAAGACTTCTAGGAATTGATGTGAAAGATCCTCTTTACAGATATAGAACAGCTATGCCAAGGTTATTCACTGCAGCTTTATTTGCAGTAGTAAGATATCAGAAACAACCAAAATACCCATGGAGACTGATTGAATAAATTATGATACTCCAGTCACACAATCACTCAAATGCAGTGATTAAAAAATAACAATAATAAAGGAAAATCTCTACATAGTAGCAGAGAGTGATTTCCAGGGCATATTGTTAAATAAAAAGCCAAACAACAAACCAAACCAATTAAACAAACAAACAAACAAAAAGCCCCAAAGTATCAAGAGTGTATCTAATGTTCCACTTTTATGCAAGTAAGAAAGGGAAATATTTACTTACATTTGTGAAAAGAAACAGATAGAATAAACCGGAAACTAATGAAAATGATTACCTCTAGAGTATGGGTGTGAATGGGTTAGAAGGAGTGAGGATGGAAATGAGATTTCTTTGAGTTTACTTTTTATATAGATTTAAAACTTGAACCATGCGAATGTTGTACATATTCAAAAAATAAGATAAAATTAAAAAGAATGAAAAAAGCAAATCCTGAAATTAAGTGTGGATAAGTGGATCTATCCATATATCAAATTGTTAGCAGACTCCTATGAAAAAGGAATTAATTCAAGTTACCTTTGCTCACAGTATTCTGACTGCATACCTATACCTAAGTGGGTTATATACTGAGGCTGCACTGTTTAATGTAGTAGCCACTAGCCACATATGTGTGTTTATTTAAATACTTTACTTAAATTAAAATTAAAATGCTTAAACTAAAATGCTGGCATAAAATTTAAAATTCAGTTCCTCAGTTGTATTAGTCACATTTCTCACTAGCTATATGTGGTTAATGGCTATTGTATTAGACAGTGCAGATATAGAACATTTCTGTTAATGCTATAAGTTCTTTTAGACTACTCTGAGATGAAAAGAATGCAGATAAATCTTGATGTTTTTACTCAGTAGGGTTGTGATAGGTAGTAGTGGTTTATCAATTCTGAAACTTTTTTGAATATTGAAGGACAGAACAAATAAGTAAATCCGTTAATGTTCTTGGGAAAAAGTTCTCATCGAAGGAGAAGGGAGATACAAATATGGAATGAGAGAAGATAAGGAAAATCTTGTAGATTTTGATTTTAATCAGAACTATCAGTACCGACTAATGTCTACTAAAGAAACAACACCCTGGAATCAATGAGAACTGAGTGTCCATATCTTGGTTTCTAAACACCATTCCCCGCCAAAAGGAAATGGGGTTCCTTGGAGAAATTGCTGATTCTGGAAAAGTACAAGGTTGGGAAAGTACCAGGTAAGCTTGTGGTAGAAGAAGAAGGTGTTCAAGGACTGATGAGAACATGTCAAAGGTGTGCTTGGGGCTCCCCTAGACAAATCTGGGATAAATTGAGCCAGTGAGGATAGTGATGATGATGGATTAGAACACACTGAGAAAAAAAATCCATAGTGATGGATGATACAGGGAGAGGGAGGAGGAGTGGGAGGGAAAAAGAAAGAGTTCTTTCTTATGGTAGAATGCCAACTAATACATATAGGAGTGATGGGGTTAGATAATGATGATTTTGCAATCCTCAATATAATCATTGATTCAGGCAAAGACCATAAATTGATACTAAATCCATTAGTGGATGATTGTTTGGGAACAGAATAGTCGCATGGTCTGAAAGTGTAGGAAAATCACAAGATCACTCAGGTAGAACTCTTGCCACCATGACTAACCTGAGTCTAAACGTGAGGAAACATCAGATAAATTCAGTTGTGGGCCACTCTACAGACGACTGACCTGGGCTCTTTAAAAATGTCCTGAAAGACTAAAAGTCACTGGGGTCTGTTCCAGATTAAAGGAGAACAGAAAGCTCTGACAACCAAATGTAACATGTGATCTAGATTAGAGTGTGGATCAGAAAAATAAAAGCCATAGAGACTACTTTGGGGACAATAGTGAACATGAACATGGACTGTCTATTAGGTAACATTATATCAAGGTGTCAATGTTGAATCTCTTGCACGTGATCATGGTATTGTAGTTTATGCAGGAGATCTGTTTGTTCTTAGGAGATGCAGGCTGAAGTATTTTGGGCAAAGTACTTTGTGTCTGCAACTATCTTTAAAATGATTCAGAAGGAAAAAAGTCTCCATGTATATCCCTGATATGGGACTCCTTTCTTCCCGACCCATTTAACATAATTCTCCCCTCTGGGCTGGTCACTGGTGAAGGCTTCCTTTTGCCTTTTCAGAGAAACTTGTCACGGAGCCCAGAGTCAGTAGAGCAACAAGTAGGTGCAGGGCCCTCCCCTGGTACCATATACTGATTTCTTGTCCCCTTCCTCACTGGAATCACTAGGCTCAAGGCTTGGAGACTCAAGTTGGAGCCCCTGGGACCTTGGGCAAGCTACTGCACCTCCCTGGCTTCCTCATCCTGGGCTACAGGGTGTCCAAGATCCCACCCAGCCCAGATCATGGGTAGAAGAAGCCATCCTTGAACTCAGATGCTTATAGGATCCTGGGGCTGGGGACAGTTTGATAATTTTACTGGCCCTCTGTGGCAAGAGGTGGGAATGAAGGTTTATCCTTTAGATTCTCTCTTCCCTAAACTGGGTCCCCATTACCATTTTGGGGAGAAAGGAGAAAGCAAGGTGTGTGTGCACACGTGAGAATGTGCTTGTGTCTGAGTGAGGGAGGGTCTGAGGCTGCTACCTGGAGCAGTGCTGTGGCTGGGGTCTCAGGTCAGGATTTGAGGGTGGGAAGATGCCTGGGAGCTGGTGGGGGGCACTGTTTGGTACCCCAGGGCCCTTGGGGAAGCATCAGGCCTCACCTGTTCCACCCCCACCCCCAGGCTCATGAGCGGCTGGAGGAGACGAAGCTGGAGGCTGTGCGGGACAACAACCTGGAGCTGGTACAGGAGATCCTTCGGGACCTGGCGCAGCTGGCTGAGCAGAGCAGCACCGCGGCCGAGCTGGCCCGCATCCTCCAGGAGCCCCACTTCCAGGTTTGGTCCCCTCCCGGGTTCCTGGGGGAGGGGTAGGCAGGAAGTTAGAGCTGGGATGGGAAGCGGCCTCATGGCACTGCCCCATGGTCTCTCCTCTTACCCCGACCTCCTCAGTCCCTCCTGGAGACTCACGACTCTGTGGCTTCAAAGACCTATGAGACGCCACCCCCCAGCCCTGGCCTGGACCCCACGTTCAGCAACCAGCCTGTGCCTCCCGACGCGGTGCGCATGGTGGGCATCCGCAAGACGGCTGGAGAGCATCTGGTGAGGGTGCGGTGCAGCGCCAGAGGTGGAATCGGGAGGCGGGATGGAGACTAGCTAGCAGGGATCAAATCTGGTCAGGAGAGGCCGAAGATGAAGGTGGGAATCATCCCTGCCCGCTGTCGGGCGCATGCGCATTAGAGACCGTGGACACTGACTCCCCATTCTGCCTATTTTCCAGCCAGTAGTACAACTGTAAGTGAAGAATTTGGGCGGAGGATGGCAGAGAAGGTCGCTGTGAGGATGGGGGTGGAAGGGTGGGGACAGGAATGGAGGGGCTCCTAAGAGACCCATTTGAAGATTCTGACTTGGAGCAGTTGGGGCCTCATCATACCCGCCCTCCGTCCCCCAGGGCGTGACTTTCCGCGTGGAAGGCGGTGAGTTGGTGATCGCACGCATTCTGCACGGTGGCATGGTGGCTCAACAAGGCCTACTACATGTGGGCGACATCATCAAGGAGGTGAACGGGCAGCCGGTGGGCAGCGACCCCCGCGCCCTGCAGGAGCTCCTGCGCAGCGCCAGCGGCAGCGTCATCCTCAAGATCCTGCCCAGCTACCAGGAGCCCCATCTGCCCCGCCAGGTGGGCCCCTCCACCAAGCCCCTCACTCAGCACAAGGCCTTAGGGGTGACCGAGCCTCCCAGCGGCCAGGGTCACAGGCCTCGGTGTGGGAGCCCCTCCTCTCCAACCAGTGTGGTCAAAGCACTATGGGGGCGGGACCTGGCCCACCGACCCAGCCATCTACTGGCCTCTGCGTGAGGTGAACGCCTTCTCGCGTATTTTCCATCGTCTTGGGCCCTCGTGCGCATGTGGAAGGGGCATACTCACATCTAAGCTCGGCGTACACGAGTGTACGAGTGCCTGCACCCTGTGCAGCGGTCTATAAGTGTAGGGGCGCAGAGTCTGTTGCCACGTGTCATATACAGCTGCCTCCTGGTTGGTGGATTGTGGATGTCTGGCTGCTCTGCCCGCCTCTCCTACTGGCTCTCCAGCCTTTTTGCCAGAGCCCTCTCCCAGCAGAGGGTGTAGCGGAAACAGAGGGATCTTGCATTAGGTGCCAGGGTCATGTCCTTTACCAGGTGATCCTGTCTTCTCGGCGGGTGAGGCCTGGGCCCCAGGCCTGAGCAGATCCCCTATCCCTCTGAGTCTTTTGTTCCCGATGCAAAGGGAGGCTAGTACCAGGGAGGGGGCCAGGCGGACCTGTGGGAATCACTCATTTAGATGGGCAGTACCAGGATCTCTTTCATCTTTATGAGGGGTGGGGGCAGAGGGTGGACTGTGTGACACTCCCACCCCCTACTCTGGGGGGTGAGGGTAGCAATGGGAGAGGGCACTGTCCCCTCCAGCCTTCCCCTGCTTCTTTCTTTGACCCTTCACCGAATCACCGGCCTAGGTATTTGTGAAATGCCACTTTGATTATGATCCTGCCCGAGACAGCCTCATCCCCTGCAAGGAAGCCGGCCTGCACTTCAGTGCTGGGGACTTGCTACAGATTGTAAACCAGGACGACGCCAACTGGTGGCAGGTGAGCCCTGGGTGACTGCGCAGCCTCTTTAGATATGGTATGATGGGGAGGTGAGGGCTCGGGGGAGGCTTCCCTCACTCAGGCAGATCTTTGCCCCATGTGCATTTCAGGCGTGCCACGTAGAAGGGGGCAGCGCTGGGCTCATCCCCAGCCAGCTGCTGGAGGAGAAGCGGAAAGCCTTTGTCAAGCGGGATCTGGAGCTGACACCCACTTCAGGTATGTTTCTCCCACCAGACCCCCAACCTGGGATCTGGCTCAGCCCTGCCTGGCCTCACTCGCCCATCTCCTTATGGCCAGGGACCCTATGTGGCAGCCTTTCAGGAAAGAAAAAGAAGCGAATGATGTATTTGACCACCAAGAACGCAGGTGGGTATTGAGGTCCCACTTCCCCTTGTCCTCCTCGATGCCTCTTCCCTCCCCTACCAATGACCTGTGCACCTCCTGGTTCTGATGCTGCCTGTCTTGTCCCTAAGCCCTACCTGGTTTCTCCCTGCTACCATTGGCCCCAGCGCTCTTATCCTTGACCTCCCTGAGAACCCAGCCCCACCCTCTCCCCTCCACCTGATGAGCAGCGCCATCTTCCTGTGTCCAGAGTTTGACCGCCATGAATTGCTCATCTATGAGGAGGTGGCCCGTATGCCCCCCTTCCGCCGGAAAACCCTGGTGCTGATCGGGGCTCAGGGTGTGGGCCGGCGAAGCCTGAAGAACAAACTCATCATGTGGGATCCGGATCGCTACGGCACCACGGTGCCCTGTGAGTGGGAGCTGGGCCCTGCCGGGTGGGAGTCAGAAAGCACGGGGCTGCCCTAGGGGCCAGGGCTGAGGCCACTGGATGGGCATCTGTGGGCCCCAGGTTGTGGTACCTTTGGGTGTGAGATGCGGGGTGTGCGCCCTCTATGGGTGGGTTACGGAACTGCAGGCCGAGGAGGGCTGGAAGAGGTGTCCCATGAAGCAGGGGGGCTGGGCTAGCTTTGCCTTTCCGTCTCTCAGGTTTCACTTGCTAAAAGCCCAGCTGGGAACTCATGTGAAACAGGGCTATGAGCTGTGTGTGACCTTGTGAAAGACAGGGCTTCTTAGTGACAGAACCAGCTGGGTGTGAAAGCTCCTGGCTCCTAGAGGCAGGAACTCGAGTGCTGACCCCAGGTCTACTTGGCCTTGCTGTGTGGCTTTGGGCTGCACATGGCCCTCTCTGGGCTTCAGCCTGCCATCTGTGAGCACTGGGTTGGAGCAGTGATCTCTGAAGATCCTCTCAATATGGACCTCTCAAGTCTGTGGGTGCCAGTGGTGAGGGTGAGGGCAAGGTGTGTGGGAAGACAGCAGGGCTGCTTGGCATGCATGAGGCTCATGCATGTGTGTCTGAGGTGGTGTGGTCTGCCTGTGCCCATTGGGCCCCTCCTTCCCCCTAGACACGTCCCGGAGGCCCAAGGACTCAGAACGGGAAGGCCAGGGTTATAGCTTTGTGTCCCGTGCGGAGATGGAGGCCGACATCCGTGCCGGGCGGTACCTGGAACATGGTGAATACGAGGGCAACCTGTATGGCACACGGATCGACTCCATCCGGGGTGTGGTCGCTGCTGGCCGGGTGTGTGTGCTGGATGTCAACCCCCAGGTACTGCCTGGACGGTTCCTCCCCAGACTGCTCAGCATCCTCTCTGGGTACTCTACTTGGCCCCTAGTATTTCCCTATACATTTCCAGGCACTTGTCTCCCGCCCCCTCCCCATATATCCCCTCAACTGCTGCTGGGGACCCAGCCCACCTAGAACCTGTTTCTCAGCCTCCTGGATCCCCTACTCCTCTAGTTCCCTCCAGTCCCCCCATCCCCAGCCCCCTCCCAGCTGTTCTACCATTCATCCCCAGGACTCATGTCCCAGACCCCAGGTACCACATTCTCATCTATTCCCAGGTACCTATCCTCACTCCCATCACCCCTGATGTATGTGGAGATATACTCTGCACCCTCCTCTTCTGCAGGCAGTGAAGGTGCTGAGAACAGCCGAGTTTGTCCCTTATGTGGTGTTCATTGAGGCCCCTGACTTTGAGACTCTGCGGGCCATGAACCGGGCGGCGCTGGAGAGTGGGGTGTCTACCAAGCAGCTCACGGTGAGGGCCTCTGAGGTGTGGTGGTGGGGTCCAGTGGCTGTCAAGGGGGCCTGCTAAAGCTGATGAAGAGGAGAGGGTGGTGTTGGGAAGGACAGAGGTGCCCACCCAAGGTACCAGTGCGGTAGGATTTGTGATTTCCACTTCATAGGTGTGGAAATGGAGGTCTGAACGAGGGAGTGAAGTGTAGGGTCAGGGACACAGCTAGTCTGGGGACAGGAGCTTCTGCCAGGCCCCCTGCTGAGTCCACTCTGCAGGGACAGAGTGCTCACCCAGGGGGAGCCCAGAGGGCCAGTGGGAGATCTGTGGGCAGAGGTGGGCTGTTTTACAGCTGGGGGAAGGGCTGAAGGGAGGGAAGCCAGAGGCTGGAAGTCTGGCTGGAGGGACCTGTTAGCATCAGGGAGGAGACAGTGCAGGGAGGAGAGCCTTCAAGTCAGGTGTTATACTACTCCAGGGCACCGCCTTCTCCCCAGGGACCTCATGGAGCCGCTTTCCCCAGCAGATGTAGGGTTTTCAGCGTTCTGAACTCAGGGGTCCCTCTGCTGGCCATGCCTGGTACTGCAGCTTAGCACTGCTCAGGCCCCAGAGAGGTCTGGGCTGGGCTCTCCACTGCTGCAAGTCCCCCTGGCTGCAAGCAAGGCTTACTGGGGACACTGGGACACAGCTGTGCCAGTTCTAGAGCTCCCACCTTAGCTTGTTTAAGTCAGTTTTCAAATTCCCTTCCCACCCCTGCTCCACCGCCTGGGACTGGGTCTGGGGTAGGGGTTGCTTCGGGCCCTTGTGGGTGGCGCTAGGACCTGGCCTGGCCTCAGGCTGCCCCGGTAAGGGGGCCCAGTCAGACTGGAGGGAGTGCTGGCTTTTGGGCCAGGCACACCTTGTTCAGTCATTGGCTGGCTGTGTGGCCTCTTTATAGCTCAGTTTTCTCTGTTGTGAATGGGGATTAGTCCTGTTTAACTGCATTGCAGTGAAGATTATGGGGGTTGCAGAGTGTTTAGTGCCATGCTGGGCACTTCCTAGCAGTTCTTTCCTTCCTTCCTTCCTATTCTGTCTGGTTCTAGGGGAGCTGCCCTGGGGCATGCGGGGAGGGGGTCTGTGCCTGTTACTTTGGGTTTTGAGGAGGGGGCTAGATGGGGCAGGCTATGGGAGCCCCTGATGTTGGGGGTGACTGGGAGACACTGATGGGCGGGAGGGCCCCTTGTGCTGGCAGGAGGCGGACCTGAGACGGACAGTGGAGGAGAGCAGCCGTATCCAGAGGGGCTACGGGCACTACTTTGACCTCAGCCTGGTCAACAGCAACCTGGAGAGGACCTTCCGTGAGCTCCAGGCTGCCATGGAGAAGCTGCGCACGGAGCCCCAGTGGGTGCCCGTCAGCTGGGTGTACTGAGCCTGTTCACCTGGACCTCGCCCCCTCTGGGCTGTGACCCAGAACCCTGACTCCATCCCCTTCCCAACCGTGACCCCAGCCCTGAACCTCAGCTCGCATCCCTGGCACTCTGGCTCTCCCTGAGTAATGGCCCTCAGTCTGGCTTCAGCACAGAGGTGTTCACTGCCAGGGAGGTGGGTGTTCGTGGGGTACCTGTGTGCCCAGGTGCTGCCCACCCCCAATGTCCATTGGCCACCAGATGTCCCTCTCCAAGGACCAAGCTGTGCCCAGGAGTGTGTCAGAGTCACTCCTTAGTGTTCAGTCCAGAGAAGAGAGAAGCTGCTTTGGGACCATGTGGTCTATAGGTCCACTGCCGCCGCCACCTCTCTCCAGCCACTTTTTCTCCTCTGGACTGGCCACACCCACCCCATTCCTGGGCTCCTCCCACTTCTCGCCCCTGGGCCTGAGAGCAGGCCTTAGGCTGGTTCCCTGTGGCCAGGGGAGCACATAGGCCCCTGGCAGCCAGGCAGGCCTGATCGGTGGTGCCAGCCTGGTGCCATCCTGAAGGCTGGAGGAGCCAGAGCACCAGCTGTTGCAACAGCCGGGGAGCGGTGCCATCTCGGCCCCCTCAGAACGGGGCTGGGTCCCACCAGCAATGCTGCCCTGTCTTTCCTTCATCCACAGCTTTTCACTGCCGAAGTCTCTCCACAGACTTCTCCAATGTGCCCCCACAGGCCAGCTCTGTTCCCCGCAGGGCAAGTCTGGCACAGGGAGAACGCTCAGCCCAGGCCAGGTGGGCTGGAGGCTGAGTCCTGTGACAGGGAGCCTGCGGCTTCTGATGGGAGAGCTCCCGCCCACTGTGGCCTGTGGTGGGGGATGGATCTGGGCTCCCTGTCCGTGGTCCTTGTCCATGTTGGTCTCTCTGCCCAGGTCCAGATGGTTCACTCGCATGAGGGCTGCCTGGGGGGCTGAGGAAAGGTGAGGACCGGGCCATGGGGCATGGGCTTAGAGAAGGCCTTTTGTGCTCCAGCAGGCTCCTCACACAACTCCAGGGGGTGCCATCCACACTGTAGTCTCTGCAGTTCACGGTTCTGCATGCTGCGATGCCTGGTCTGTGTTTCTGCCACTGGTGTGTGTGTCAGGCTCTTTGGAGGGGGAAGCAAAGGGTTGTTTTGCTTTGGAGGTCACTTTTGGGGGCCCCTTCTTTGGGTCCCCCATCAGCCCCCATTTCTCATGAGACCCTTATTCCAGAGGCTTGGCCCTCCCTGATGTCTTCCTTCCACCCACTTGTTGTCCCCCAACCCTAAATGCCACCCCCCAGTCCTTGGGGAGGGCAATTGTGTAAAATAGGAGAATCTCTTTTAAGAAAAGAATGCTGTCCTCGACTTCCCCCAGCACCTCATCCCTCATCCTTCTCTGTGACCCTTCCCAGCGTGAACCTGTCCTTGTAGGGGACCCCCCCAGTGCCCCCACTCCCAGCCTTTGTGCTCCCCAGTTCTTTGGAGTGTCTAATCTGTCTTCGCTGCAGTGTCAGCTCATGCTGGCCCCTGAACCACTGTGTGCCCATTTCCTAGGGAAGGGGAGAGAGAAGAAACAGAATATTTATTACAAAGTTAGAAATATATTTATTATATTAAGGATCTCATTTGCATTTGCCTAGGATATGCAAATGAGGTGTAAAGGTCAAGCCTACTCCCATCTCATTTGCATAGCTCTGCATCCACTATGCAGTCATCTTTATGCTCTTCTGTTCCCTTTAGTCAAGATTCTTCTAATTTATCCTCCATTCAGCTCTCCCTTGCTTTACCCTCAGCCTCAGCCCAAGGGTCTTGGAGTGGTAGGAAAATGGGGTATCCTGCTGGCCTGATCCTGGCTATCATGTACTTTGTCCATCCCCTGAGCCTCACCTGGGAGACCTGGAAGTAGAGGCAGCTGTGCCCTCCTCCTTGGTTAACTTCCAAAGCGCCCTGAGTAGATGACTGTCCTTGATGGGAGTGGAGGCTGGGCCCCTCACTGGGGAGCTGGCACCTAGCCTTTCATCGTGAATCTCCAGATGCTGTCCTGGCACTTCCACCTTGGGTGATGCCTGGGGGGCAGGGCTGGGCCCCTCCTTTCCTGTCTCCATCCCTCTCTGAACAGCATCCTACCTCCTCTGCCTCAGCCCCACTCCAGGGACCAGGGCTAGGTTGGAACGGGTGTATGTGCCTACTGCGTTAGCCCTGGGACTCTATCCTCCCTCCTCCCAATGTGGACGCTTCTATTGAGGGACTACAGGATAGTGAAGACCCTCCCTACCCCTCTGTCCACACCCAGTCCCAGCCCAGCTGTCCTTCCCTCCTCCCCTCCCTCAGCCATCCAATCTTGAGCTTTATCTCTGACTGGTTTTCTTTTCCTTTGATTAAACGTGAAAGCGAAGCTTTTGGGCTCTGTCTGTCTTTCTTTGCGGTCGGCAGATGGCTTCTGGAAAGGTGGAGAATGGAATGATTCTGGAATGGAAGCTGAAGTCACAAGTCCGTGTTCTGTGATGTCTTCTGAAATTCCCCATCCTGCCATTCCATGCTCCCCATCCCCAGAAGATGCTCTTTCTAATGCTTGTATTCAGGAGTCTGTACCCAGCATTCATGGGGGCCGGGGGATTGAGGCGTCACCCAGAACCTGCTGTGTGGCTTCCAGCAGGTTCCTCTACTTCTCTGGCCATCAGGTTCATTCTTCTGAAGTGTCATGGCCTCTCCCGGGGCTAATGCTAGGATTGGTTCTAGGTGCTCATCAACAGGGGCCAAAGAGAACTGGTCGAAATGTCACCTAGGGGTCAGCATGGGTGTGTGGTTGAGGGATCAACTTGCCTTCCCGCCAGTGTCCTTCAGGGGAGCCCAGAATGCTCACTGAGGATTCTTAGGACAGGGCTTTGGCTGTTCCCCTTCTCCCTGTGATGACCAAATGCAGAACTGGCCCCCCTCCTTTGATTTCCCCAAAGCATCTGCTCACACAAAGACAAGGGTGGGGCTGACTTGACTGGTGATTTGCAGGCAGCCATAGGGGTTTATATCACCCACTTGACAGGTCTGATGTGAATTTAGAACCGAATATTAAACACCCCAATTCTGAAATGTTCCTTGATCATCCCCAGCACATAGAATGTTTTACTGGTCAACTCTTCTCCTGCGGTCCCCTTTCTTCCTCCATGTTGCTGGGCCCTCTCCCACCTTTTTCTCTCAATTTTGGATGACTTTCTTCCCATCTCCTGGGGCATCCCTAGGAGCTGAATATTTCTTTACTATACCCAGCAACCCAGCACTTGTATTTCTGAGCTAATCCAGTGGTTCTCAATTCTGGCTGCACATTAAAATTGCCTGGAGGAGTTAAAAAAATACAAGTGCCTGGAACCCAATCCAGATCAATTAAATCAGAAGTTCCGGAAAGGCTAATTGCTGCAACTAACAATCATAACATCTCAGCAACTTAACAACTTTATTGTTCATTTCTTGCTCACATCACATCTGATGGAGATCGGGTGGCACCCCTGGTAGTGATTCAGGGATCCAGCCTCTGTTTCACATTGTGACACCACTGTTTTTAACAAGTGATTCCCCAGGTGTCATGGAAAAGGAACAGAGATTATGTAGGAAGTTGCTGAGGGATTTTATGGGCTAGGGCTCTCAACTCACAGCCTTTTGGCCAGAAGCTAGTCACTGGGCCCTGGATTACTGCAAGGGAGGCTGGGAAATGTAGTCTTTCTTGGTGATCTGGAAGAGGAAACAGGATCTAGCCAGTCTCTACCAGGCTGGGCATGAACCCCTGGAAGCAGTACGTTTTGAAGTCTCCCTCAGTGATCCTAAGGTGTAGCCAAGTTTGCTGGCCACTGTGCATCTGTTTTGGCCATACCTGTGCGATGGACGGAATTCCCTGTTACGTTCTAGAAGTTAAGCCCTGGCCAGTCGATCTTATTGTTTGCAAATATTTTCTCCCAGTCTGTAGATTGTCTTTTTGTCGGTGGCGCGATATCATGTACACACGAACACCGTGTGGAGAGAAGCGAAGCAGTTCTGTTTATTGGTTCTTGGAAAGGGTTTATATCGGACAAGCACGATGCCTCACATATCATCTAAGTTATGACAATGTTAATAGTCTAAATCTATTTAGGTCCCCAAGTTCCTGCAGTAAGCACAGGATGTTACATGATCAAGAACATACTGTTTTAAAGTTCGTCACGAAACTTCATTACCTAGGCCATCTCTTATCCCGCCGGCTGCGCCTGTCTTAGGTTGTCCTCCTCTGAGGATCTTACCCATCACTGGCTATCCAGCCGTCCGTACTGGATACATGGCATTCCTCACAGCTTGTTTATCAGTTCAGCCCGTGGCTTATTCTCTAGAGCCTTCAGGCGGGGGCCTACATTTGCCCCTTTATTTTTATTATTAAAAGCAAGGAAACAACCCTGCTGCGCAGAAGCAAGCAAGCCCATCATAACAGGAGCTTGTTGTAGAGCTTCCTGTTGCTTACGTAAATTACACATCCATTTTAAAAGATGTAACAAGGCAGTACAGATCAATATAAGCATGACAATATTAATAAAAATGCGTAAGTTAAGCTCATTAAACCAATTTTCAGGCTTAAGCCAATGCAATCCATTTTCAATTTGCTCAAGTACATTCTGTGCAAAAGCATCATGGATATCATGTAATCGAGTCTCCAACTGATCTTGTAAAAAGTTACTATGTTCTCCCAAAGAATCATTCAATACTCCTTGTAAATGTTGTCTCATCTTGTACCATGGTGTCTCTGTTTCGTTATATTGAATAGGAGTTACACATAGCATAGAGAATTGCCGGTCACATTTCAATTTTAATCTTTTTGATAATGCTTCTTGTTCTCCAATCCATTCTACGGCAGCCTCAAGAGCCTGTAGTCTAGCCATGATTCCATGATCTATGTCAACCTGTGTTTGTAGCTCTTGAGTTAACATTAGTCAAAACCTTCTCAACCGTATGGGCAGCATTAATAGAGGACACTAGAGCTGTTGTAGCAGCAGCAGCCGTGGCGATGACGATTACAGCCGATACCATAAAAGCGATGAGTGTAGCTACAAATCTTTTTGGCCTAACTTTTTTGAAAGACTCTGATACCACATATAAACTTTGCTCATTAGACCAAGTTCTGTTCAGGGTAACTGGTAGCCATACATGAGCTCATCGTTTTAGTAGCATAACATAAGATACATTATAGTCACTAATATTTTTATGAGTCAAAAAATCAGAATACCAGAAAGGAGGAAATAAATGGGTGACATAAACATGGTCAATAGTAATATTAGGAGGGAAGGCACCCCAAACTAAAGCGTAAGGATGTGTAGTGCAAATCATTACAGAATCAGAAAGATTGGTAATTAATGACACATTAACATAGTCTCCATGATAAAAATTCTGTCAACAAAAAGCAGTCCGAGTCTCCAAATGGTCTTATAAACAGGACTAAAAATAGTGTCGCCATCAAGCAGTTGTAAAGTGGGTCTGGAAAGTCCATGTTCACTCGAAGTAATTAGTGCCGAAGAATTTTGTCCAAATTGAAGAGACAAGTTATTATTTAACAAATGTCCATGGGGTCCCCAATCCAAGAGAGTTCCACTGAACAAGGAGCTATTACGAGGACACTGTATCCTGCAGGGTGACCACTGAACAGAATAAAAGTTATATCTCCAATCAGTTTTCGGTTTACACATGGGGACAGTGGTACTTGTGACACATTCATAATTTCATAAGTAGTAGTTGATACAGCTGTCATAAAAGTTACATTAGCTGCTTGATTCCCCTTCTTAGGTTGATAATACAAGTACAATTGCTTCTGTAGATTAATACAATCAGTATGTGACTTATTATATACAATACATAAAGGTGGATTATAAGAATATAGTGTCAGTGTTTGGTTGCTGCACAGATACTCTTGCGTTGCTGCGGGAGGTATCCATGTGCCACCTGTCCAAGCAGAATCGTTAGAAGCAAGTGGGGGGTCTGCATGCCACCAAGTAACAGGTGTGAATAAAGGAGGGTTAAGAATATAAGCCCAATAAGACACATCAGATTCCCCAGAAATCAGAGAGGTGTAGCACGCAAAATGATAAAAGATTAAGATACTTATCCATCTTTTGCAGTGGTGACCACATGGATATACTTCTGTGGTATCCATCGTAGCTCGTGACCTGTATCAACACATAAAACACCTCTCTTCCAGCATTTAACCTGACAAGGGCCCTCCCAGTCGTTGGTAAATGGCTTTTTCACCCAAACTGTATCTGGGCCACCCATCACAGGAGAATCAGCATGTCTCTCTTGAGTGGTGTGAGCATCTTTTCCTCGATTGAAAAAATTAAGCGTATATAATGTGTGTGCTAGGATGTTATGACATTCTTGGGGAGTATACTCCCCCTTTAATTTTTGCAAGTAAGCCTTAAGAGTCCTATGACAACGTTCCACTATAGCTTGTCCAGTGGAATTATAAGGTATTCCAAAAGAGTGTTGCATTTGCCAATTAGAGCAAAATTGTTCAATAATTTT